GGCACCTGCATGAAGGGCTTTGCCACTCTCAGCTCCAAGCATTCAGAGCTTCTGCCTCCACACACACACAAAAAGAATCAATAGCATCATTTTTGAGAAAGGATTATCTTAAACAATCCCATGGCTGGGAACTTTTTCTTTTGCTCCGGAGCAAAAACCCTCTAGGCTTCTCCCAGCTCACTTTCCTAGCCTGTCAGGGGGTCAAACATGGAGTTAAATGAGAAATCAATCCCACGATTGCAGGAGCCAAGGTCCGGAGAGGAAAAACCCAAACAAACCATAAATCATAACAAAAGAAAATGCCAGCTATTCCCAGGTTCCTGATAACATCATCAGAGGTGGCAACACTGGACTTCATAAAAAGCCTGGCTGAACTTTAGGGTCAAACAATGGCAGCTCTTTGCTTTGTCCATTTGTCCCCGCATGCCTGGGGAGTGACGCGTGGCTGACCCTGCCGTGCACGGCCTCCCGATCCCCACCTGACCTGCACCAGTCCTGTCTGTCTGAAAATCCCAGCACGGCCTGCCTGGAGATGGTGGAGCATTTTCAATCCTGATTTCTCTACACAGAGTGCTGCCTGCCCTGAGGGAGTGGATTCTCCCAGCACCCTGCAGTTGTGTTGCTCAGCTGGGAGTGTGTTCTTGTATATTCCTGACTTTTCCCACCCACTGTGGCCTGTGTGCAGTTATTTTCTGGTCCTGACACTGTTGCAAACTGATCCCTGCAAATCTTCACCTAAGTTACCCTGAAAGATTTTTCACAGACAGCCATAGCACCAAGGTGGGAATGGAGCCAGATGTGAAGCAACCTGGAATTTCAGGAGTCCATTCCTCAGCCCCTATCAAACAGGAATATTTTTTTCTTATTTCTCAGTATTCTGTGGAACAGGGTATTGTTCCCTATTGCAGTTGGGTGAAGCTGGGGGTCCCCTGGAGATAGGCAGGGAGGAAGTGTTTGCAGGGAAGATCTTCAGGGAAAACCTCATGTGATGCAATTACTGTGAGACAGACACAGCTCAGCCAAAGCAAACTCCCTGTGACAAAAGGGACCCTCTGTCAGCCTGTGGATAAAGTCCCCTGCCAGGAGAAAGACAAGGGCAGCTCTCCTCCCATGCCAGGAGAAAGACAAGGGCAGCTCTCCTCCCATGGTCTTAGCTGAATTGGAGCAGACTGTGTGCTCCCCTGAGGACACAGGTGCTGGTGGCTCAGCTCTGTCTCTGGACACCTCCAGAGTCACTGTCACTTTTCTTTCTGCTCTGCTGTTCCCAGGAGCTAATGAACAGACTGTCCATTTTGAGCCAGACTTGAGAGAGGTGTCCCAGAGGGAGATTTTCTCTTGCAGGCTTGGGAGAATTCAGGCTGCTGCAAGGAGAGACCTCCTAAGTGCCTCTGCTGAGGGCTGCATGAACAGTACTGGTGGCTCCACTTAGAATCATTTAGGCTAAAAAGACCTTAAAGATGGTTGAGACCACCTGTAAGAAGTGAGTCCAACATGAAGCAGCACAGCCTGAAACACCTTCCACCAGAGAAGAGCTTTAATTGAACCTCTGGCTCAGTGTGTAAAGCCAGTCTGTAAGGAAACCACTGTTGGCACCTCAGAAACTACTTGTGTTTATTTGGCTGATGATTTGAAGTTACAAAGGAGCTTTTGTTGGTCCCTGCTTGTCACTAAACTGTCTCTGGCTTCTTTGGGGGGTCATATGCACAGGTAACAGCAGCACCTGCCAGGTTTATGCCCAAGCAGCCTGGCCAAGCTCTGCAGCGCCCGGAGGGGAGGAAATTCCCAATTCCCAAAGGCTGCAGAGAGGGGAGGAGCTGCGGGGAGAGCAGGAAAAGCATCGGAGTGTCCCGGCAGGAGAGCAGCACCTGTGAAGTCGGGGAGAGGACCAGGACAGGAAGGGTTTGGAGAAGGGAGAAGGCTGAGCAGTGGCCAAGTTAACCTTCCCATGCTGGCATTTTCCAGTGGCGAGCCAAGTGACTGCTCGGGAAGATGGATATAACACATGTCTGCAGTCTCCAAAGGGTTATTAACTCTGCAATAATGGCCATGAAACTTGGCTTCCTCGACGTACATTTAAAATTGGAAAAAAAAAAAAAACCCAAACCCAAACAGTTTCAGAGGGGGAGAGGGCTTGTTTCCTAGGAACTGCAGGGCCAAATCCACCTCTGTGATGGGGAGAAATCCCAAACCCAAACAGTTTTAGAGGAGGAGAGGGCTTGTTTCCTAGGAACTGCAGGGCCAAATCCACCTCTGTGATGGTGAGAGGAGAAATCCCCCTCCCCACGGGCTGGGAGCAGGGGAGCAGTGCAACCACCACAACAGGACCACAGCCCCCTCCTGCCACACACACCTTATCCTTATCAGAAACAATTTCAAGGCATTTCTGAAAAGTCTGTGGTGTTCAATTAATGTGTCTCTCTGGAACTTTGGGATTTGGATTGAAGAAACACACCAGTGCTGCTCCTAAGACAGATTCCTCTTTTGTTGTTTGGGTATCACTGTGGGGCTTGTCCCTCGCTCCTGGCTCCAGCCTTTGGCAATACTGAGGCCTGCCTGGGAAGTTGCCCCTGTCCTGGGGTTTGCAGCCTCTTGGGCTCCTGTCCAAATGTTCTGGAAGTCTGGGATGCTCCACTGGGATTATCCCTACTCCAATGTAGTCTGTGCCAGCCAGCCCAGCCACTGAGCAAGTCCTTCCATGCAGTAAGTTACCGACTTCTCTTTATTGGTGCCTCTCTTCCCCCACACTATTAAATTTATTCTTTCTCTGTATTGTTATTATTTTTCTGGCAGAGGACTTTGGAAGGTGGGAGAAAGGATCTACTAAAAAGTTAAACAAATCTAAGCCCCCTCGTCAAACCCTTTCGAGGCACCAGCTCCAGTCCCTCAGCAAATGAAGTCAGCTGGTGGTCTGGGTTTAAACGTGGCTGTTGAGGGCTCAGGCCAGGTTTGGCAGCTCACAAATCAAATTGCCTCGTGGTTCTCAGGAGCAGAGGATTGCCACGGGTGGAGGAGCTGTGGGGGAGCTCTGTGCCAGCCGGGGCCCTGGCCTTGGAGGGAGGCACTGAAATCTTTGGTTCACAGCAGGTCAGGAGGGAAATTCAGGCTCTGAGGTTTTGTTTTCCATGTTATGTTACACTATTGATACAGAGCAAGGCAGCCCCAAACTGAGATTTTGTGTCACTTGAATGGGTCCAGGCCAGTCCCTTTGCTTTGGTAAATTCTTATTAGGAGCAGAGTGAGCCCTGAAAGAGAGAGTGGGAAACACAGAGCTATTAAAACTCATCTGATCTCATGTTAATAAAGAGTTTGAGCCATGGGTCTTGGCTTAGTCTGATTTTGCCTGCTGGGAGCTGCTTGCAGGTCCCCAGTTTTGCTCTTGCTGCTGACCAGAGGTAACATCCTCCAAGTACCACCCCACTGGAGGGATGAGGGACATTCCTGAGGCCACAGCAAGCATGTCCCACACATGCTTTTGGTCCGTGAGGTGCTGCAGAGGCCCTGTGCAGGGCAGGGCTTTCTGAGGTGCTATACCAGCCCATGGTGTGCCATAGGGTGTCCCTTGGTGCCTGAAAAGCACAGCCAGCAGGGTGAAGAGCTGGAGGCACCTCCAAGATTCTGACTCTCAAACAGTCTCTCTCCTTGTACGGGAGCAGCTCGCTGAGAAAATGTGGCTCTTGCTGCCTGTTCAATGCCTGGAAGAAAGAGAATGGTGTTAACGTGCTCATGTCTCTCACCAGTCCTGTTCCCAGCTCCAAACACCCTTTTCTCAGCACTCCACCAGTGCCTGCCCTCCCTGGGATGAGCATCCGAACCTAATTCCACTTGTTTGCAACTCAGAGCCATTCCTGCTGTCAGTATGGCTGTGGACAATTCTCCAATTCTCGTGGAAGTGCTGCGGGGAGATCTGCCAGAGCCATTCACACTCTTTTATGGGTCTTCCTTTGAATTCTTCTACAATTTCAGGAGCACAGTTGCAGATTTTTGCAGAAGTTTAAACTCTAGGACACTGCTCTGCTGGGCCACCACAATTTAAAGCTGCTAACAGGTTGGGTTTTGACTGCTTTCCATGACTCAACCATGCCAGGAGCACAGGATCCCATCCAAAGCTCACCAAACACAGTGGAAACCTTTCTGCTCTTGGAAATCACTCTACTGCTTTCGACAGCCCCTGTCAAACTAGTTCTCCTGGTCCCTGCACAGCTGAGGACACGCAGGATGTGGCCCAACCAGGTGGGAAGGAACTCCAGCGGCTGCAGGACCTCGGTGAAAATGGGAATTGGTAGCAAAAATGCATTTTTTATATCTCTTAAGCTTTATGCACTTGTTTCTTATTTTCATCCGCACAATAAGTGAGTATGTGGGATCATTGCCCAAAATCTGTGTGTGTCCATATACTGTGGTGTGGATGACCCTGCTTGAGCAGATATCCCTCTGTGGTGCCTTCCAACCTAACCCATTCTATGATATCACCAGCCTATTTTTTTTCCTGGTCTTCCAAGCCCTGGCACCTGCGGTTGGCGCTGGGAAAGGAATGGGTGACTTTCTCAAGTGAGCTGCTGTAACCATGTCTAAATCCAATTAGCGATGAGGAAAGGGAGAGGAAGGAAACACGACGGGGCTGCCCAGTGACAGGATGTCGCCCGTCAGACCCCCTGACCTAGCAGGGATGTTCCCGGTGGCTCGGCGGGTCCCGAGCCGACACCGGGTCCCGGAGCGGCCCGCGGCTCCCTCACGGCCCGGACCGGGGCAGGAGAGGGCGCCTCCTACCGGCCGCCCGTGCCCACGTGCGTTCCCCCCGCGCGGCTCCGCCGGCGCGCAGCCAATGGGGGAGCGGGGGGGCGTGTCCTGGCGGCCGCCGCCGCCAATGGGTGCGCGGAACCGCGGCAGGGGGCGTGGCCGGGCGCGCGCCGCGGCGATCCCCGGTGCCGAGGGCGGGCAGGGCGCACTCGGGCCCCGGTCCCGTCGCTGCGCTGCGCGCTCGGCTCCGCCGCCGCACTACCATGTTTGACGGCTGCCTCCTGCCCCTCGTCGTGCCCTGCCTGCTGCTCTGCGGATTGGACGCCGGCACAGGTAGCGCTCCCTGCCGCCCCGGCTCCCCTTTCCCGGCGGCACTGACAGGGTCCGGTCCCGGACGGCAGCGTGCGGGCGCGGAGCGCAGGGCACGCACCGCATCCTCTGCGTGGCCGCAGTCCCGGGCCGCGGGATGAATTGCTGCAGGCTTTTGTATTTTCTTTTCCTGTCCTCCCGCTGCTGCTGTAGCGTTCCATGTGGAAAGCTGCTGACTGTCCTTGGCTGCTGCTGCGGCTCGCTCTGCTTTTCCCCTTCTCCCTGCAGATTTTTATTGGGGTTGGTGAAATGCGATGCTTGTGTCTGAGCTATATATATATATATATATATATATATATGTATCGTGATACAAGTAGCTTTAGCGTTTGCTCTATTCCTCTCTTCCATGCACGCTTCTGTCTCTAATATATGTGTGTATAGAGAGAAATAAATCGCCGTGCTCCGCTGGCTCCATTGTCTGCGCAGCCCGTTCAGGGTTTCCAGCGCGGGGCTGTCTGCGCTGAAACCCGAGCGCGGGGCTGTCCCGGGGAGCGGGGGGTGCCGCAGCCCCCGGCCGCCCCGTCGGGCCGCGGCTCCGGGGTGCGAGCGCCTGAGCCTCTCTCCTTCTCGCCTGCAGCTGGCGGAGCGGAGCTGGAAGTGGTGATCCCGGAGCGAGTGCCGCTGGAGAAGATCCACCTGCTGCCGCCCGGAGGGGATCGCGGCGGCCCCCGGCGCCGGCGGGCAGCGGCGGAGCAGGAGGAGGAGGAGGAGGCTGTGCTGCTCCGCCTGCCCGCCGCCGGCGCCGAGCTGTACCTGCACCTCCGCCGCGACCTGCGCTTCCTGGCCCGGGGCTTCGCGGTGGAGCGGCGGCGCGGGGAGGCGCGGCGGCCCCCGCGGGAGCGGCTCTGCTTCTACTCGGGACACGCGCTGAACCGCAGCGACTCCTTCGCCTCCCTCAGCACCTGCGCCGGGCTGGTACTGCCATCCCACCCCGCTCCCCTCCTGAGGGCTGGTACTGCCATCCCACCCCGCTCCCCTCCTGAGGGCTGGTACTGCCATCCCACCCTGCTCCCCTCCTCAGGGCTTCCCGGTCCGCTTCCCTCCTAAGGGCTGGTGCTGCCATCCCACCCCACTCCCCTCCTGAGGGCTGGTTCTGCCATCCCACCCCGCTCCCCTCCTGAGGGCTGGTACTGCCATCCCACCCCGCTCCCCTCCTGAGGGCTGGTGCTGCCATCCCGGCCCGCTCCCCTCCTGAGGGCTGGTGCTGCCATCCCACCCCGCTCCCCTCCTCAGGGCTTCCCGGTCCGCTCCCCTCCTGAGGGCTGGTACTGCCATCCCACCCCGCTCCCCTCCTGAGGGCCAGCCCGATGAGGTGGGATGCGTGCGCTTCACCTGCCCTCAGCGAGGTGACCCTCCTGTCCCCTCAGCTCCCGGGCGCTGCTGAGCACCGCCGCTGTCCCATGGTGGGTGTCCTGCCCACCCTGGCTCCCCCTGTGGAGCCGCCTCAGCCATCCCTGAGGGGCCTCAGGCTCTGCGGTTCCATTGTGGGTGGGCAGCAGAACCCAGGGGTGCTGTGGAGGAGCGTCCTGGTGGAGGGAACATCTTGTGTCACTGTCCCCAGACATGGGGCAGGTGGCTGTGTCCTGCTGGGGTGATTTGGTGCCATCCTGGCCTGATCCTGTGGCAGCTCTGCTGCTGGCTCTTCCCACCCTGCCGTCAGTGTTGGTGTGTTCTCTGGGAGCTGTGGTCAGGGAGCAGCCAGTGCCCCAGCACGGTCACAGGAACATCCCACTCAGCGGGGCTTGTCCCACCACAAGTGTCCGGATTTCTCTGCCTGAGGCTGTGGTTTCAGGTGGTTCTGCAGGGCCAGGCTCTCCTCTGAGCATCCCGGTAGGAGCAGGTGATCTTCTGTGCGACAGAAAGTTTCTCGGTGATGGAGAATGAAATTCTTAAGACATGGAGTAGTTTGCAATTATTGTTGATAACTTTTAAAGTACTTCAGGAAGTCAGCGGGGCATTAGGCAGTGATTCCCAGCAGATGGTCCTGGGAGGTGTGCCTGTCAGAACAGACCTGATGATGGAGATTTATCCTTAAACCGTAGTGAGAACCAGTTCATGCTCTGCCCTCGGGGCTCCAGCCTTCGTTCCGGAGCCATTTGAGGGCGCTGTGCCTCAGGATTAAAACAACCCCAGCAAACAGAGATGCTGAGGTCTGAGTGGCACTGGAAATGAGCTGAGTTCCACCGAGGGCAGCTTAAAACTAATATCTCTAGTTCAAGCCTTAAATCACGAATAGCTCTGCGCTTTTGCCACCAGGCGTGTTTTGTTAATCTTGCTGGGCTTCCAAAGCTGGAAAGCACAAACAAACAGAGGAGGAACCTTTAGAAAAAGAGGAATGTAGTTATAGGCACAGTATTAACTGCCTGAGATCAGGGAATGGAGGAGGGGGTGAAAAAGCTTGGCAAAATTCCCAGTAGGAAAGCTGAAAAAGAGACAAGACTAGTTAGTATTTGCTCACTACTCAGCAAAAGTGAACAGCAATATTGCAGTACCTGTTTGGATCATGGCAATTCTAAGCAGGGGCTAAATTGACATAACTGGGCTGGATCAACCTGGGATCAGTGTGAAAGCTGCTGGTTTGTGCCAAAGCCCCTTGTGTTAGTGACAGTGTTGGTAAAGCTCTGCTTGCCTTTGCCTGTGCACCTGGTCCTGGCAGTGCTGAGAATGCTGTGGGCAGATGTGTTGAGAGAGGGGTGTTTCTGCATGTTGGGATTCTCCTTTCCTATTAGAGGAATCTGAAGAGGAAGAAGGAATTCATCCTCTTCCTTCAGATAATCACCAGGAATGGGAAAGGGCTAAAAGCAGGTGCATGGAGCATTTGAGTGAGTTAAAGTTAAAAGACCCTTGTGAGCTTAAAACTAGAGAACAGAAAACCAGTGTCTTGAGGATTAGCCTGAACTTAAGATGGATGAAGCTAAACTTAAGATGAACCTCATTAATTATTGAAATGGTTTCATTGAAATAATCCATACCACCATGTAGATGAACCTTCTTATTTTAGCTGAGTAGACCATTTTGGGTTCTTAAGTCTGTCTTTAAACATGAAACACCTCATATTTTAGGCTGTTTTCAGTGTTTACACAGACTTCTGCAGTGGCCACAGTAAACCAGCATACCTGTAGTGAAAGCTGTCTAATGTAGTGGTAAGATGTTTTCTGGGATCAGAGGAATCAAAAGTTTGCCCCAAATTGTCTAGGAAGTCTTTAATCTGCCATGAGATGACCTGAGAGCAGGTGACTCTAGAGCCCAAAATTTTTTGCCTTCTAGTCTGGCAATTTAAAATACTAAGACCATCACTTAAAAAAAAAAATTATTTTCCCATTGCTTCCTTGAGCCCTGTTTGCTGCAGGAAGAATAAGGCTTTGCCCTCAGCAGCAGCTTCACAGGTGGGACATGAGCCAGACCTGCTGGGCTAGAGGAAAGACCTGGGTAGTGGAAACCTTGCAGCCTGTTTGTCCTGGCATTTGTCTTGTGAGCAGTTCTAGTGCTGCAGTGGGGAGGGTTCCTGAAAATTCCAGCAGGGGAGTGCTCATTGGACTCTAGCTGGGTGATCAGGACATCTCCTTCAGAAAAGCTGGTTGCTAAGAAGTAGAGTGGGCAGTAATGCTGTGTCCTGATCTCCAGCTGGCTCAGGCCTTGCTGTAATCATATTCTCAGCCATGCCATAAATCATACCAAAAGTGATATAAAATGATCAGGGCAAGTGGAGTTCTAGTAAAAACAAAGTCCCTGACACAGTGGCACGAAAACTGAGCTGCAGCCAGACTGAGCAATTGCTTCCTGGTGATGGTATCAGATTCCCAGTGTGGCATCTGAAGGTTGGGGTCTGGTTTTTAAGCTCTGCTGGCAGATGCTGCTGGTAAGCATGTGTGGCTGCTGCAGATCCTTTGGGAAGGGTGGCCGTGCTCTCAGAGCTCTGTGAGGTCAGAGTGAGGCAAAAACTGCTCTACCCAAGCTCTCACCATTGAGCTACAGCTGAAGTGCCTGGTGTGAGGATGCTCCAGCCCTCCTGTTCCTCGTGACAAGCTGGGAATTCAGCCTAGCAGAGGCACAGGGTTCCTGGAAAGTGCTGCTGCCTTCCCCTTGGCAGCACCGGCCTCTGGGGAGTGCAGCTGTGCCAGCACTTGGATTCTGGCCACAGCTCAGGGCTGCACTGCCCATCCCTGCTGCTGGGCACTCACAGGCAGCTCTGCAGCCCCCAGGACCATCACTAGAAGACAGCAGCCAGTACAGGAACTTTGTTTTTTGGAAAGTTCCAGCTTTGTAAGGCCACAGTTTAGTCACTGTCATGTGCTGAAGTGCTGGACTGCAGCATCAGCCCCTTAGAGCAGGTGCAGGCTTTTCATACTTGTACCTACATTTTGGAAACAGTTACAGTTTTAAGAGGGTCATGAGTCCATGTCAAAATAAGCATTATAAATAGAAATGGAAGAAAACTGTTGAAAACTGTTCAGGAACCAAAAGGTGACAATCACTGGGATGCATTTAGAGGCAGAGGTTTGATTCTAAATAACTTCTCTTCCATTTTAAAATCCAGAGTCTTTGATCTTGGGTTCAGGATTGCTCTTTGTCTTGTCTCTAAATAAGGTGGCTTAACTTTCTCAGTTGAAGTAAGAGAAGAGTTTGTGCCTCCCTCCTGTTCAGGCTAGTTCATGTAACATTTTCACACTCCAGTTTTGTCTCCTTTGAACTTCCTTGTGCAGACTGGATTGGTGGAAATGGATGATGCTCATTGCAAGGGCTCATGGAGTGAGAACAGTGATTTTTCTCATTGTAGGATGGAATAGACTAATTGAAACTACACCTTAAGAGATGCACACTGGATGTTGGAAAAACCTAAATATTTTGTAGTAATGTCTCATACAATCTACTCAGAGAAGAAAAGGGCTTCTTTTCTTCCAAGATTTGTGTACATTTGCCTTCATTAAACTTTCTGCATCTCATCTTCCAGCCTGTTAAAATATTTCTGAATGGTGGCTCTTCATTCAGGTCTGTCCTGTTTACTTGGGACCATCCATAAACTTTGTGAAGGTGTAGATGTAGACAAGTTGATAAGAGCATCCATCTGGACTTCTTCCTCTGAGGTCTCTGAAGTCCCCCTGATTTCCAGGTGGGTGTAAGTGCCTTGCAGGACCTGGGTGTCCTGGTGTGGGTTTGGATCCTGTCTGGAAGGGCAGAGCTGGGCAGGTTGGACTGCAGCCTCCAGGGAATGAGCAGTAACTCCAAGGACTCCTGGTAGAACAGTAAATCTGCTCTGTCCTTGGGAAGAAGAGGAACAAGGATGCAGAAGAGGCCACAGTCTGGCAGGGTTAGGCCAGTCTGGGTGTCTGGGGCGGGTGAGTGATGAAGATGAGCACTTCCCTGATGGCTGATCCTGTGCCATAGGTACCTTAGGTTAGTGAATTGCCAGTTTCACTGCAGAGGGAGCTGGTGCCTGGTTCAAAGCAGGTGCTGCAGCTCAGGGAGCTCCATCCCTGGCCAGGGAAGTGTTTTCTGTGTGCACCAGGGCGGTGCTGCCCTTCAGGTGACTCAGGAGCCTCTGCTGCTGTGGGAAGCAGGGCAGAGCAGGCGTGTGGGGATTAAAGATGATACAATTTCCCCTGAGGAAACCTTCAGCTCCACTGAACTCTCCTGTCTGGGAGAGGAGCTGTCTGGCATTCATCCATAGCTGGGCCATAAGCTGAGAAGTTAAACATCTTAAAATTCCTGTGCTGGGTTTCCTTGTGCTGGGATTTTCTTTCCTATTCCACGGTGGACAAGAGGGAGAAGATGTTGGGGTTTCCTTGGAGAGTTGGAGGCCAGAGCAGATATTCCTGGGCATGGTCTGCTCTCAGAATTGAGTGTAAACCTGAAATGACTCTGGAACAAGACTTAATTTAAAGCTCTTCTCTTCAATTTGCTTGAATTGCACTTTTAAATAATAACCAAGCAAAGCTGAAACATGGTTAATAAGGGTGGGACTAAAACCCACATGAAATTTATTAAACTGTATTTGTGGGTTGTTTTGTTCTTCACTTTAAACATTAACTTCCTTTTAACTTTGAGGAAATGGTTAAACAACGATTTACAGCGTAACAGTTGAGAAATTGAGAAGGGGATGGAATTTGTCAGATGTTTAAATCTGTTCTCTTTTCAGCGTGTTCTATGTATGTAACTAATGAACACTTAGGAGCAAGAGAAAAATCTGTTAAAGATTCAGCATTTCACAGATCTCCTTCAAAGATGTGAAAATAAAAAGGGCTGGAAAAACAGTGTAACTGTTGGAGAGTACTAACATGTGGGAAGGTCCAGAACCATGTGCAGGGAGCACTGAGAATTTGGATCCCTGTTCTGAGCAAGCCCTGGAGCTGCAGTAGCTCCAGCAGCACTACCAGGGCACAGGGACAGAGCAGTGAAGCCAAGGAGGCAGGATGGGGCCACACAAAGGCTGTGCTAGCACTGTCATCCCTGTGACACTCTGTGAGGACCTTCCTCCTTTCCCTGCTGTCATTTAGCCCAAGAAAAGCTCCACTGGAAGATGATTTGTAGCAGAGGAGTAGTACAAGAGCAGATGACAGAGTGAGCAGGTTGCTTGAGTGACCCCTGTGTGTGTGAAACCCTGGATAAGAGCGCATGGGAATGTTCTGGTGGTGAGCAATGTTGAGCTGACTTCTAGAATAAGGATGTGAAATATTATTAATGTGGAAGATCTTGCCACTGTTGGGCACAGTGGTGAGTGGGGCTGTAGTGGGAAGTGTGGATTATTGTTTGTTTTAATCAGCTTGTCAGTTTGCCTGCCTTTGGAGGCTGAAATCATTCCAGCCTTTCCTGGTAGCAGAGCTGCAGGGCTCTGTCAGCTGCATGGGCTAGCCATACCAACTGTAAAATTAATGCAGATGATGGTGAGCTCCTGCACTCCTCTGAGTTTTTGGGTTCTTGTGTCTCAGGTCCTCCAGGTTGGGCAGCAGCTGCTTTTCCCAAAATTCAGCTATCCCAGGATCTGGCACAGCAGCAGGTCCTGGACTCCCACAGGGGGAGAAAGATGGGAGGGAGTATCCCAACTTTTGATATGCATTTCCCCAGGCAAATGGGAATTGGCAGATCCAAAGCATTTCACTTAATTGGAATGATTTCCTGAGATGTGGGAAAAGTAGCTCCAAGGGTTACGTGGTCTTCTGTTTTACTTCCTTATCTTCAAAATCCTTCAAAAGCCTTCTGCAGTTCCTCAACTCAGACAAGAGAACAAGAGCACAGAGCCTTTGTCCAGGGCTGATGTTTGGTCTCTCATGCTGGGATTAGCACAGGGCAGGATCTGCAGGATTTGAAGGATGCAAATGAGGAATGCATTTCTTATGGAAAAAACAAAATAATGACCAGACTACTCAAGTTACAGGGTCCAAAAGATCTCCTTTGGGCCATCAGGACTGGGGACCCTTCAGAACCCAGCTGGCAAGTCTGGGGGAATTTTTAACATTTTTAGCTCCCTAGGGATGCTTTACAGGCCTGATCCTGCAAACCCTTCCTGCTTGAAACTCTATTTGTCTTGTCAGATTGAGCTTGAGATGCTTCCCAACGTTTTCCAGGGTGAACACTCATGGCTCTTTCTCTCCATAGGTTTCACAATTCCACAGCAAATGTGAAACATAAGTCTTCTCCAATGGTTTAAATTATTTTCACTCTTGATGCCAGAAAATTGGGATAATGTCGGGTGGTGATGAAACTGACTTCTTCTTGCATACTTTTGGCACCAGCTGAGATGGTTGGCAGTCTGTCAGGAGCTCTGGTGTGGCTTTTAGTACCATGGCACCAGATTTACAACCCTTCTTCTAAATAATTAAAACCTATATTAAAAAAGGGGGCTGGGGCTACCTCCCAGCTGGAAGATTGGAACAAGGAGGGGAAGTAGTGGAGAGCATCGTAAAGGAGGCTGGAAGAACAAGTCACCAGAGCTCTTTTGCTGTCTCCGGAGCAATTCTGACAATGCCCAACTTGTGATTTAAGTGAAAAGGCAGCCCTTTGGACACTCCAGGGGAGAGGGGTCTTGTAAACTGGTGAGAATTCTGTAGGGCCTAGGAATAATGTTGGGTTTTCTCTGTATGTAGGAAGTGCCAAGGCATTTTATCCTTAAGCAATTCCCCTGCCCCAAGAGCAAGGTCTCTTTTGGAAGGCCCCCAAAGAGGTGTCTCTTGTCTCCTCAGAGACAGGGGACTGATTGTCTCTGCTGTGCTTTGCAGCCATGCCCAGTGGAGACACCAACTTTTACAGTTTTCTTTTTGTCCAAGCTCTCTTTGGAATCCAGTGACCCTTCCTGAGACACCCTGAATGCTGTTCAGTTTGTGTGGCTGTCAAAGGAGGAGAGCTCTCATTTCTGCTGGCAGAAATTCCTCTTGCTGGAAATACTGGGCCAAAGGGATTTCCTGGGTGTACGTGAGGACGGGATTTGGCAGGGAGGTGTGGAAATGTGCAATATACAGTATGTATGTAATGTATATTATAAATCATATTAGTGCAGTCAGCTGTTCAACATACAGCATTTGGATCTACGTGCAGAGCATTTCTTTGGAGAGTTGCCTGGCTGGCACAGAGAGTGGAGAGGGGGACCAGAAAAGTCTGGCCTCTCTTTTTATGTACAGGATGGGTGTTGGAGCTCTCTGGAAGTACCTTTACCTCTCAGGTGCACAATCCTGGCAGACCAGCTGAGTCCTTCTGTTGTTAACAGAAGTTAAATCAGACCTCAAGACTTCTCTCAAGGGGGAGGTACATGGCAAAGCTGTGTTTTAAGACTTTTAATTGCAATATAAATAATCACTGGATTAGTGCAATGAAAAGTAAGAGCTCCTCATTGTAAATACTCACTTTGTGCAACATGTTATAACCTTGGTGTTGATTACTAAACCTGGAGGCTTTGTTAAGTTTTAAGGTGATAACTTTGCTTTCACTCTCTTCTTTTCGTGCCAGAAAAGAAGCAGAAAAAGCATAAAAGAACCTTAAAAGCTCTGGGTTGTGAGCAGAGGAGGGCTCTGCTGGGGCAGAAGCTGGCTTCCAAAGGTGTTCTTGCCAGCCCTGCTGTAAGGTCTGGACTTGGTGCAAGGAAGGCAGGGATTTAGTGCTCTGACCTGGACCCTGTGGAGTTACTTAGGCAGGGTCTTTGCCTTCCTAGTGTCACTTATTCCAGGAGTGGTGGAAAATCCTGACACTGGGACAGTGCAGCAGTCCATTCCTGGCTTTACCTCTGAAACCCTGCCCATGGCCTGCAGGGAGAGCAGAGCTGACTGTGTGGCCCTTAATGTAGCCAGGAAGAGGTATTTGGTCCCAAAAAATGCAGTGTGGCTCTACAAGTCACACTTGCATCAGTTCACTCAGTGTTCCTTGTGAGGGTGGTACCCACAGGGGCCTCCTGTGTGCAGGCAGTGTCACCTCTGTCCCTGAGACAGTAAATGCCATTCAACAGCAGGGCAGTCCTGGCAGCTGGAGAGGTGATTTTGAAGGGATTTCTATTAACAGGATTTATTTGTCCTCATGTGAGCTGAGCATCTTGTAAAACACACATATTTATGGGGCTGTGTCTGGAGGGAGAGGAGGAAGGGAAAGCAAATATGTTGACAGGAATCCTCACCTTTCCTTTGTGCATGTACAGTGCATTGTTTCTAAATAGTGCTTAGTGATATAAAAAATAAATGAGATAAGTTCTTTGTTCTGTATTACACAGGCTGAACACAACCATAATCCCATCATTTCCTCACACTGGAAATAACTGCAGTGAAATGACCTGGGTGTCAGGCCAGGCTGGATAGACAAGGCTTGGGCACCAAACTGATAGAGGTTTTTTTGTTCTGTTTTGTGGACAGGTTGGCTACATCCAGCTTGGATCAGAGCAGCTGCTGATCCAGCCTGTGAATGCATCTGAGACCTCGTTCAGTGGGAAGGAACATTTCATCAGGCGGAGACGATCCACCAAGCCCGGCCACCCCTCCCGGCCACAGGGCCCTGAGGAGCACTGCAAGGTTGTAGCAGGTGAGCTTGGAGTGCCTCCAGAGAGCAGCCATGGGAATTCTGCTTGTATTTTGTGATTCTGGTGGTTGGGCAGCTGGAGCTGGGGGAGGATGGCAAGTGTGGGTGAATCCTGTTGCTGCTTCAGGCAGGAGCCATGAGGTTGTCAGGGCATGTGCTGTAACACCGGACTTGTGAGGTGATAAATTCTGCTCTAATCTTGCAGTGTGACCACTGCTCATGGAGGCATCCACTGAGTTTTTAGGAAAGGTTCAGGTTTTTTAACTGAAGTCAGTGTTGATGGGGACTCTTCCATCTCGCCTTTCCACTGGAGTTGTGCTGAGCAGGCAGGGATAGAATGGTGATCCTCACATTGCAGAGTGTGGAAAACATCATTTCACCTGCTTTGATACAATTCATCACAAGTATCATCTGTGGAGTCCAACTCTAGGGATCCAGCTCATAGTGGGATAAAGGGGTATCTGGAGATGGAAGAGATGCACAGTTTGTCTTTCAGAGCAATCTGCTTTCTTTTTCAGCTTCTCCTGCCATCATTCTTCCTTTTGTAGCAGAGTACACAATCCATATCAGGGTCAACTGTGCAGACTTTGTATTATGACTTTAAATTGCTTTTGTAAGGGCTTGTGTGCATTTGGAACTACCAGATGTAGTTCAGAAAGGTAATTTTATGGGTTTTTTTTAACTAGGAGCTTAATTTTGCTTTTTCTACCTGGTGTTTGACTCGTCAAACTTAAGCTCTATCTGATAAAACAACTATTATATCATATATTATGCTTTGCTATCATTTTTCAAGAGGAAATGGCCAACTGTGTTCATTGATCATATCCTGTCTTCTTCTACTTTCAAAGCCACACAGACAAATTGCAGGTGATATAAACTATTATTTTGCTTCTTTAGAGCAATTAAATTTTATCATTTCTGGAATTCTCTCTGAATGTGTTGCAGAGGGGGTATTTTTTATGAACTTTGTGAAATCTCTTCATTAGGTTGCAGTGTTCCTGTATTTTCTGCTCCTTTCATTCCTCTCCTGCCTTCTCCTGGATGGATTCCATAAATGAAGCAGTGGGCTCTGCTGCTGGGCTGCCAAAGGGGCAAAGTGGGGAGCAGGGCTGGGAGGTTTCCTGGGTACAGGAGTGAGAATCTCTGGTGTGGGAAGAGCTGAGTGCTCATGGACAAGGGCTGCTGTTGGATGTGGGAGGAGGTGGCAGCAACAGGAGGCACAAAAAGCTTCCTTGTGGGAACAGCAGTGGAAGAGGCCTGAAGGAGCTCACTGGAACAGGCAGGCAGAAAAAGGCCTTTGCCTGTAAGGCTTTGTATCTCCACTTTTGTGTTTAACCAGACCTGTGCACCAGCAAAACAACCTGTGCCTGCTTCTGCGCTGGGTGCTGGTAAATCCTGCAGCCAGGACCTTTATTTTCTCCTATGTGGAGCTGAGCTCTTAATAGTTCAGCAGGTTTATCATTCTCAGGGGTTCAGACTAAGCCAATCTTCTCTCTGATTCTCTGAGAATGAAATCTTGGATCTGGTTACAGTTACAGATCCCTTATGTCTCTTTTCAGAGAAAACATCAGAATTCAGCACCGCTCTGATTTCCCAGCCAAGTTCTGTAGGTGCTGCAGCCCTGTGGTCACAGAAAATGCATTTCAGAATTCTTACACTGTAAAATGAGACAGCCATTAGTTAAAATCTGAATTGAACCGGAATCAGTCCAGGAAATGAGCCTCACCCTTTGGCCACTGAACCTTTTGACCTTTTTTCTAGGGGCAGGATGCTCCCTGTCCTTGGCAGAACTGGAATTCCCTCCCTGAGAAGAGGAACTAAAGGAAGGAAACTGGGGAGACACTGGGTAATAATTTCGTGGGATCACAAAGGGAAAGAGGAGCTGAGTGAGCATGAAGATACTGAAAGAAGACACTGATAAAAGAGTATTTCCAATGGCACCTCCTGCTTCCTGAGGGCCTCTGGGGAGCCACTGCTGCACTGGGAACAGAATTCCCATGCCTTGGGTGCTGAATTGCTGTGCTAAGAAGGGAGGCAAGCCTTGCTTGGCAGTAGCCCAGTCCTAAAGTAATGCAGTTGCTCATGGGCTTTCCAACTTAAAGGCAGACCCCTGGATCTTTGTCATTGTTGAGGGACAGAAATGTAAACTCATGGCTGTTAATAGGCTCAGCACATTAATGACCTAATTGCCTCCTGTCTGCTGTGGATTAACTTTTGTGCACAAGGAGTTTAGAAATGAAAAAATGAATCCTGTCTAACACACAAAAGGTCCATTTTTAATAAATCTGTGTGGAAGTGACCATCTAGGGGTGTGCTTCCAGAGTTTCTCCTGGGAAAAGGTCTCTTTACAGTGGTACTCACCAACATGGATTGGTCAGATTTGTACTAGAGGTTGTTTCCCAGTGGCTTAAAATTTGGCTCACTCAGGCTAAAACTTGGCAGGAAAGGTTGGAGGTTGTAAATACATGGGGATATTTCTATGCCAGACATTTAGGTACAAACCCTGTGTTGTAGAATGACATAGACAGAAAAAGACAGGTCTGTGTAAATACAGTCTAAAATGAATATTTTTCAAGGGCACAGAACTGCCGTGCTTGGGCATTTTTCAGTCCTTTACTGCTGTTCTTGTATTTTCTGAATGCACGAGAATCATCTCTGTATGTATTTTTTTTCTTAAAATTCTGTAATTCAGAGGTATCTGGCATAATCTGGGGTTATTTGGGAATCAAAGCACAAAACATCAGCTGAATTTTTAATGCTAACTATTGATCATGTCATAAAAATTTAAACAGGGCTAAATTGCTCAATGGCAAATTTCCTGTGATATATGAACTTAATAACTTGGAAAACAAAGGTGCTTGGTGATGTAGTGACTTGTGTGAGTATTTGGAGGAGGAGCAGGAAAACACTTTAAGAAAGCAAAATGAGCTTAATTAGGAAGTGCTGCAGGGGGACAGAGAGCACAGCTTTCCAAGGGCATTGCCCCTGTGTTCCACCCAGAGATGTGGTGCTCTCCCTGCACACCCCAGCCTTGGGAGGGGGAAAGTGGCTTGGTGCCAGGTAATGCCATCAGGCTGGTTTGATAAGGGGTGGTTAAAATCTCTAAAACAACTCCTTTAGTCTGAGTGGTGTTACATGTCCTGCAGCACTCAAAATTATTTTTAGGTCTGCAGGAGAACTTTGTGGGAGCCAAATTTCTCCTGGAATAATCTGTATAAGAGGATTAATCTGGCTGTAGTCAAGAGTGGGAAAGTACTTAAGGTTTTGCATGACTGGATCCTTGAGATTTGAACCTGAAAGTGTCTACTAATGGGTTAAAAAAAATCCCAGAGCTGATGTTTTAATTCCTTTGTTTGAATTCCAAAGTGCTCCAGCAGCAAAGGAGGGATCCCATCACCATGGGCCAGGTGCTATTGTTAGTCATATGATATGTGAATATGTTTTATTTTTATCACCTGTCATCCAGCAAGAGAGAGAGAGAGAGTTCAAGTCACAATGCACATTTCTGCTCAGGCATGAACATGAGCCCCTGTGAGGCAAACAGAAAACCTATTAAAAGGTTTCCAGGTGCACATGCAATGAGGGGGAAGGAGGGGAAGGTTGGGTTTCACTTGCTCTGAGCAGGGAGTCGTGAGGAACAAGGGAAATAGCTTCACACCAGTGATGTGAAACACCTCTCATCTCTGGACACTGGGCAGCATCTGCACAAACCTCCTGTCACACCCTGCTCTTGTTTTAAAGACCAGCTCTGACAACTTTCTTGTCAAAAGTCCTGGAGATGTGTCTTTGCTATGGAGAGAATGGAGTCAAAGGGAGTTTTGTTTGTAGGTTTTAACACATACAAGTAAGAGTTTCCCTGCAGAAGAGCCAGGCAGGCAGGAAAGGTTTCTTTCAAGGCATCATACATGATTTTTGCAGTGCCCAACCCCTGAGATAGAGGTTCTTTCATTGCCCTCTCTGTGAGCTTGTGACAGACAGTAAAGCTGTTTCCATATGACAATGTCCACCACAGCCTCAGCTGCAGTAAATGGATTCTTTTTCTGAACTATCATTCAACAACAGTAGTTTAACTATTTACTGAGATTTCAACACATATTTTGCATGTTTTCTATGCCATCAGAGTTTGAAAATAGGAAAAAAATTCAGTTTTTCTTGATTTTGAGAGAGTATCAATGTTCAAGACAGAATCAAACCATATTGTAAAAGCACAGGAATCTCCTCTAACCATGTCATAAAACTTTCTGTTTCTTTGGGAAAAGTAAGTTCTGTTACAACTTCTCCAAAGGTCTCCAGTGATGTATTAAAGTCTCCTTACATAGGAAGGATTTGATATAAAATACAGTCCAGGAGCATGAGAGAGAGCAGCTTGTCTTTGGACAGAAGGTTGTTATTTCATGTTTATGATATAGACCTCATAAATTACTCTTAAATGTGGGTTTGCTTTAAACCCTTTTGTCAGTTTAAATGAACCAGTTTTCCTTTAATGCAAATGTGCTGCACATACAGTGAAATAACAGGAAGATCAATATTTTAATTCACAAAATAATAACGTGTTGCTTCTCTGCATAGTTACTTTGCAACCTGTTTTAACAATTTATCAAAGCTGGTAATAATTTAAGTAAGTGCTGGTGTACAGGTATCAAATGTAGGGAATGCTTTCCCTGAACAGGTATAAATCTTAAACACATGTTACTGCTGCATTGCATTTCCCCATCTTTAATCATTGTCTCCTAGCTGTGTTTTCTCTGCAGGTTTGACTTGGCCTGAAAGAGCAGTTGTTATGGCCAAAAACATGTGCACTAAAAATAGAGAGATGTAATGCAACCTGTATTAGTCCATATTAGGAAGCAGCTGTTGGAGAATTAAAGCAGAATTTCAACAGTGGGCTCCACAGAAGATGTAATGTGATTAAGTGTTTGCAAGCACAGGAGGATTCCCTGTATCAGGAACTCAGCACTTTGCCCATGGGAGTGTGTCTCACTTCTGTGGCTAAATCCCTTGGT